ATATTACTACGTATTTTCTAACATAAAAACCAGGTTTTGCAATTTATACAGTTTATAATTTAACATAAAACGTCTAAATTTGGCAAATCGTAAATCAAAATATTTGTCTTCCTTATAATGCAACCAAAATTTTCATGTGACGTCTATATAATATAATTCTCATTCTGTTTTTAATAAGATCTGCAACTTTATTTGGCTTAAATATTCTAATTTGCACAGTAATTTTTTTATACTGTCAGAATTACAATGATTTATATATACTTTGCGTTAAATAAATTTCTATAATTTTACTTAACATTACATAAAAACTAGAATTATACCATATTTAGCTTAAAATACGTAATAATAGAATTTGCAAATAATTTATTTGATAGAAATTATATAATTCAAAAAAGGATAAACTCTTAGTCAAATTCTATTAACATATGTAATTTCGAATTTAGATCTTTTTTTAGAGCATCACTCAAACAAAATAAAATTTATGCGATTTCTATCAAAAAAGATTGGAAGATCAATTTAGATTGCATGACTCTTAGAGCGGTTCCCATCTCAATTGATAGACTTATAATAGTGACATTTTTGTTAAACATCCATATAATAAATAATTTTTATATTTTAATTACTCAATAATTATACAAATTTTGTTACAATAAAACACGATTGAACTTAAATCAGAGTACTTTTTTATATTCGGTTATGTGTTTTATATTGCTAATAATAAGTTGACTCAACAGCTGAGTCATGATTTGTTGTACTCCTGATAATTCTCGCAGAAATTTTTTTGACGGTACAATCTAAAGTATCTTATAGATATGAAAATTATATGTGATCTATCAAAATGATAATCGTATATAAATTAATTATATTCTATATTATTCATTTTGTATATTTTCATTCGATCGCAATATATATATAAAAATACATATATATGAGAACTAAGAATGATCCCTAAATAAACATTCAACAAAAAAAAAAGTATGACTTCAAATTTTATATTACCATGTTTACCTAGCTTTAGAGGTACATCGAATGGACCTTCTCTAATTTCAACATCTGATGGTAGACCTTGGATGTCAACTCAATATTTCAAATTCAAGTTAATTACAAATGAAAGTATTGATGTAATTGCTAATACGTTTTTACAAGAAATGACGCCAGGAGATCAACCAAGACTTAAATACAATTTTATATCAGCAATCATGCGTTGCTTACCATATGGATGCGTAGGAGATAGAGAATTGACTATGGTGATGAAGGTTGAACATGTGGTGAATCTTTATTATGTAGACTGCTTCAATCATGCTAATGGCTTTGATATTGTTCATGTTAGCGTTCGTGACCTAATTGATGAGAATACATGTGTAAGG